AATTAAAAGCACATAGTTTACACTTCAGTCCAGAAATAATAGAGACAACTTGAAGGATCCGTAATTTATTTTTGACTTTTACGTGCACCTTTAAAAGCGTGTTTTTTAGTGTTCTTTAAACTTTTAATTTTTATTTCACTCATTTACTCTTAGTAAATCAAATTATGATAACAAACATGTTTCATTATTAATTTCCAAAAAATAAGGAATTTGAACCACACAATTTTATCTACCTTAAAAAAACTCTAGGTACTTACATCCATTCTATTCAGCCTATAGCCAGTCCATTTCAGGATGAAGAACTCCCTAGGATACACCAAAAGTCACGCTCTTCCCATCGCCATCCAGACAAGTGGAAAGCTCTGGTCCTAGTTGAGACTGCAAGTATTCCTCTGTCAGTAGGTACTTACAATTTTATCTCGAAATTAAGCATAGGTATATCTAGTTTTTGTTTATTGATTGACGACCTTTGTTGGTGGACGATTTTATTAGCTTGTAAACAAATTCTAAGAACGACAAAGACAATAAATATGCAAAATTATCGTACACCATTTGCGGTTTCTCACTTTATATTACGATACGGCACGTAAAACCGGAGAGCTTTCAAATAATTCAATGATCACTTCTCTATAAACAAGCGTCTTCAATGGTACATTAACTGCGTAGGAAATGTGCTTGTCACAAAACAATGACGTCTCGGACTAATAAAGACATTTCAGAAAATTAGTTTATTCATGACATGACAGCTATAAAGACATTTCAGAAAATCACTTTACTCATGACCTGACAGCCGATTTGGTGCAGGTAGTACGACTGTCTGCGAATCAAAAAGTTCCCTTTTCTCGGTGGGTTACTCAAGAAGTTCATATTTACACCGAATTTGTTCCAAGGCTGCATGGTTAGGACATTGCAGGGTTCATGTCCTGATTGTCCGAAAAGAAAGATGATTCCTTTAGACAGCACACTAAGCCGTGTATGATTAGTTAGGCGGCGGTCATTTCTAAGGTTGACAATGGCTGGGTACACAACCAAGTCAGAGACCTGCTACTGATACCAGGGTTCATCGGGTCGCACGAAAAAGAAGAATGAATTATTACTCCTCCATAAGCAACCATCTTAATGGTACATTAACTACACAGGGAATGTGCTTGTCACAAAACAATAACTTGAACTAATAAAGATATCTCGGAAAATCACTTTATTCATTCCATACAGCCACTTAATAATAGTGTTCAGTAATAATCTTTGGGACGCGCCATTACACTGCAAAATTACTAAGACAGGACTCTCATATACAGGCTGTACAATAATTTGATGCAAATATGTCATGAGGCGGAACAGCCCATGAAAGTAAACAACTTTCTCCTAGAAAGAGAAGTCGAAATATCTGTGAAAAAAACGGACCATCAATTAACCCAATCAGCTGGTATATTTTTTATTATCTCATCAGCCTTTAGCAGTCCAGTGCTGAGCGTAGGCCTCCCGCAGCATACGCCACAAAGTATATTTTGCGTGGAACGTAATTTTTTTTCTTATTTCGTTTTAGTTTTAAGGGCTAAGGCTGCTCGCCCACGTCAGTCTTTTTGTCGGCCGACAGCGATTGACAACTAGAGCTGGTTTTGATCGAGTCACTCGAGTTAAGCTGCGAACGAGTCAACTCGAGTTGCTTTTTCTACGCCACCGAGTCAATTTAGAAATGTTAAGAAAAAAATATTTTGATTGTTCCCATACATGTGAAAGGGGGGAAAAAATTTTTTTCACCCGTAATTTTGAATAGGGTATAGGTTAATTTTGTTGCTGGTTTGTTTGCAGCTGTATGGTTACCAACCGCAAATTGAAAAATTTTATATATCCTTAATCTTTAGTGGTACAGTATCCTTCATAGTTTTCATGGTAATTTCATACTACGAACTGTATTCCATATTTTTTTTCAAATTTTTAGCATGCGTAATTTAGAAGTTACAGCTGGAACTAATTATGGCTAAAAACGCCCCTTTTAAAAGCAAATATCTCAAGACACAAACATTTTAGAGACTTTGATAAAAAGAAATCTCCCCTTAATTTTAAAAGACATATGCAACGATACCCTATTCAATATTACCGGTGAAAAATTTTTTTTCCCTTTCACATGGGAACAATCAAAATATTTTTCTTAACATTCTAAATTGACTCGGTGGCGTAGAAAAAGCAACTCGAGTTGACTCGTTCGCAGCTTAACTCGAGTGACTCGATCAAAACCAGCTCTAGTTGTCAAGCGCTGTCGGCCGACAAAAAGACTGACGTGGGCGAGCAGCCTAAATGAGCTTCTAAAATATTTGCAGTATATTTTTTACATCTTGTATATTCCTCTATAATCCAAATATGTCGTAAAGTCAATTCACAGCGGTACATTTTCAAATTTAGAATGTACAATTAAATCTGGACGTGTCACACGGCATTTGTATGATGAATGGCGTCTACAGATACGATTTATGACGTGGATTTAATTTGGTCAACTTAGTTATGTATGACAAAGTGGTTGTTTTGAATAAGAAGAAAAACAATTTAGGATTATGCTGATGTTGTTTTCAGTTTAAAAGCTTTCGGAATGGGGCTAAATCGAAAACGGGCTTCGTACAATCGGAATGCGAAATACGTCATGCGAAAGCTGAACGAAAATATGGAGCAGTAAATGTTTCGATAAATTCCTCGTGGATTCAAACCGAGCCTGAGACAAATGAGACGTGAAGAAAACAAATTTTCGGACAATTAACCACTAGTAGATAGATGATGTGTAATATTGACGATAAAATAGAGGTACTAAAGTTACAATGGATTTGTTTTCACATAAATCGATTGATCTCAGAAGAGTTACAGACAAAGCGCGCCATCAACCTTCTTCTTTTCTGCCTTCGATGCTCCTGCCTGCTGCGAAGAAGATAATCTTATACCAATGTATCGATAGCTACTATTTCTGGACACCCAAAGTAAAATCTTTATAACCCTTTCACGGGCACCTTTTATGGCGTGTGAATGACTGGTAGCATCTGTGGTAGATTTATTTCAATTTCCTTTACACTTCCAACTTCCGTTAGTCGCCCCATAAATTTTGGTGATAAAGAATTTAACTACTTAGCACATCTCTTTTTTGGGATCGGTTTCCTGGACAGAAATAGCTGTCCGGCGATTTTCAGGAGCGATTGGCTTTTTTAAATTGTGGCACGGCAGTGCCGCTGCTAAGTCGGGCCCCCCGCAAGTCGAGCAAAACGACCGTACTATCCTTTTCTCAAAGCAGCTAAGGCCATTTACTTAAACTTTGACACCAGGGTTCATTGGGTGGTTGGATGACTCAGTATCCTACTCGAAATAAATAAAAAGAAGGTCGTTTTCGATCTTCAACTATTCTGAATTTTAATCTTCTAGCTACAAGACCTATGAAAACAACGTGGAATGCAGAACTTTTTCTTTAAAAAAGAAATTCTTTCTCCCGTTTTGAGTCCACAAAAGACACATTAGAACAAAAATATTCAAGTGAATGTTTTATGATGACAATAAAAACAAACACCCATCTGGCTAATTTATCACAGTCAAGCACCCACTGAAACACACATGTGTACACAAGATAAAGCTGTTAAAAAACTATCGTCTAATTCCGTTGACATAACAGTCCACGTCCACAAGCTAGGAGATGTATTTTTGAATCGGGAATTTTAGTTCGCATACGAAAGTTTGCCACGAGTTGTAAACTGCCACTAAACTGTTCGTAGATACAACACAACTATGGGTTTGAGTTGTAAAATGTGTGATACGAGCAGTGGTTAGATATGCAGTTCGTTGCACTTTGGCACATGCAATAGTAATCTAAAATGATAATATCTTCTTCAAATGGTAGCACAGTATGAGCTTGGACTAAGTGTAATCAATGTTTCGCCACGACGACCTATTTTAGATCGAGTGGTGTGCATGATTTTAGCCAGTAAGGGCAGAATACTTTTCAAGTTTGGATAGTCCTACGATAAGATAGTTAGTTGATACTTATCTACAATGGGTACATACATAATTATGTCACACATATACCCCTTGCGGGGTAAACAGAGTGTAAAAGGCTGTAAAACGGCCTTTTTCACCACCACGTCTCGCAAAATATTTGAGAGTCTGTGTATCACCATAGGGACAGGTCAGTTTCAGTCAGTCTCTCGCCTCAAAATTTCAATACACATCCATTCTCGCAAATCATCCAAAGTCGCTTCTTACGACACCCACGGGAAAGATATGGGGTAGATACATAATTCTATTCAAAGCACCACACGGCAAATTATGCTACTGATTCAAAAATACACCTCTTGACGTAACGCGGGTTGTCGCCAACAAAAACTTTAGTTCAAAGTTTCAACTTTAACATGTGGCGCCAATTAAAGTTCTCTTTTCAAAAGGGATAATAAAGATAAGAGTTGAATAATGAGCTGTGGAGAACAGTTTTACGAATGACTGCCACTTGGATATGTGACTGTGTCATTTGTTTGTATTGGGACACAAGTTATTAATACAAATTCTTTTTATACAAATTCTTTATTATAAATAAACATACTTACAAATAGGTAAACTTATACAGAAACAGTTATGTTGCTTACTATTTCCTAAACTAAAAATATAAAAATATTCTTGTATTATAGGGTAAATAGGCAGCAGACATAACTATTCTAAATAAACTTTAATGGTGAATAATATACTACTATATTAAGGTACTATAATAAGGTGAATAATATAATAATACGTACATGCGAAATGGTTTTTTATTGCGTAAATCTACTTGATTAGTCTCAATTTACGCCTTTTACAAAATACCGTATTATAAATGTTTTATCTATCATGCATTGATACTAATCAATGCCTATTGTTAAACATATGCGACTTACAATATAAATTAGTCCATTGAATACCAAATTTTAAAACACATCTCGTGTTAGGTATAAAATTTTTGGAAAACTTGGAAAATACAACTTTTTGAAAATTTTTGGAGTACCGCGGTAGCCCAGTTGGTAGTGGCGTCCGCAGTACAGATGCCGAAGGTCGCAGGTTCAAATCCTGCCTGCGGTGGAAAATTTTGCAAGTTTTCCAAAAAATAGTCCGTAGGAATGGAGTGAGTGAGTGTCTTAAAACACGACCATGAGGGATGAATCAAAGGAATGGGCAACTGCGTTTCTTGCAAATATCTACAACGCCTTGCACTCGTTCAAAAATTTTCCTACCAATCCTGACGAGAATGGCAATACTCCACCCACAAGAGGAGGCCCATGTACAGCAGTGGACTGTTGTAGCTGTAGTTTTAGTAGCTTAGTATAACAACAGTGATAACTTTGCTACTTTGCTTAGCTTTTTGCTACGAAAATCTGTTATATATTTGTTTCATATTCATTATGTCTTGGCGCTGTATCTGTTTCATTTATAGCTGTTATCTCTGCAGTGACATTTCCAATAAATGCAACGAGGTCAAACGAGCTGCCATCTGATTGTTTTCCTTAGCAGAAAATGAGGTCTTTTATTTCTAGCTCTATTCGATTTTTTATTTAATACATTTGATTCCCAAGAGAGTTATTAAATTTCGATCACGTTAAGTTCACATTTATGCAAAATAAAAAATGATGTCAAAGAAGCGTCAGTGATTTTTACCGCAAATTGTCACATCTCGCGTAATTTATATATCGCTGAGTTTTGCATTGTGAATAAAATATAATGTTGTAATAAACTTGACAATCAACTCTGCAACTGTAGGTACTTTTCTCATGATTCTAATCATTATGTAGGTACATACCTACATTATGTAGGTATCTTTGATTTTAAATGCCAAAGTCGTTTGGATAAGTTTTACTAAGAAGGTAGGTAGTATTTATGCAAAATAACTTAATCCTAATTGCAATACGTACCGGTAATGCAGTTTAGGTTAGAAACTCACAGATTATCTACAGTTTCATTTCCTATTCCGATAAAACCAACTAACCCATTACCTTAATATTCCATTACACTTAGCTTAGTTACAATTACAACGATTTATCTAAGTCACAGTAGAAACATAAAACAAATTATAAAAGTCTCTTCAGGTCGATTTCTTTCAACCTTTCTCAGACGCTATCGCTAAACCAAGGAAATAAGGAACGCAAGACTTATTAAGAGGGACCTCCTCCTCGCGTCGTATTCCTCAATGCTGAGAGTCAAAATTTCCTAGCAGCCGTGGCATCAGCTTCTGCCGGACGGTGTTTCGCCACTTGTTCCTATCTTTGGCAGAGTGAAGAGCGTCGTGTAGCTTGGTGTCTAGGGTTGAGCGGATCTGATCAGACCATCTGGTAGGACTACGTCCTCTTGGCCTTTTGCCGTCAACCTTGCCTGTGACCATCAGCTGTTCAAGGTTGTGTCCTTCTTTCCTTGCGATGTGGCCGAAAAACTCTAGCACTCTTTGTAGGCAAACAGTTGATAATCGCGTCTTTATGTTCAGCTCGCGTAGAATAGACACATTTGTGCGGAAGGCTGTCCATGGAATCTACAGCATCTTTCTCCAGCACCACATTTCAAAGGCATCGATGCGGTCGCGGTCACCTTTTTTTATTGTCCATGTCTCAGCCCCATAACAGAAAATGGAGAACACCAGGGTCTTGACTAATTTTATCTTAGTTTTCCTCGAGATGTTTTGGTCCTTCCATATTCCTTGTAATTGGGCCATGGCATTTTTGCTCATTCCAATGCGTCTTCTAATTTCCTTTTCACACGAGCCGTCATTACTGATGTTGGCCCCGAGGTAAATGAAATCGTTGACGGTTTCTAACATGAGAGCACCTGTGAGCTGCAGTTTGTTGCCACGATCAACCACCATGAGTTTGGTTTTGCTATGATTGATTTTAAGTCCCTTTTCTAGGCTGATTCGTTCCATCCTTTCCAATATATCAATCATCTCAGCTTCGTTGCTGGCTAAGAGAGTGGTATCATCAGCGTACCTGAGATTTGAAATCTTGGTGCCACCCATGGTAACTCCGCCGTTCCAGTCCTCACACGCAAGACGGATGATATGCTCTCCATACGCATTAAAAAGGATGGGTGAGAGTATGCAGCCCTGTCTGACGCCTTTCCCGAATGTGAAGGGTTCTGATTCTACTTTTTGGATCTTAACGACGCCTTGGTTGTTCACATTATAAGGACTCAATTTTATTAGCAAAATCAAATGTTCAGGTACACCCATCTTCTTCAGCATCTTCCATAAGTCCGACCAGATAACACAGTCGAAGGCTTTGCTGTAGTCAATAAAGCATAGAATAAGTGGTGTGTTAAACTCGTAAGATTTTTCAATGAGCTGGCGAATGTTGAGAATTTGCTCACGAGTTCCTTTGCCTTTGACAAAGCCGGCTTGCTCCTGCGGTATCTGCCAATCCAAAAAGTGGCGGATCCGACAGTTGATGATATGCAGCAACACTTTGCTGGCGTGAGAAATCAAAGCCAGAGTTCTGTAATTGTCACATTTACTGGTGGATCCCTTTTTGTGGAGCGGAAGAATAACGGACTTCGTCCAATCGCTAGGCCATTGTCCAGTGTGCCAGATATCATTGCATAATTTGTGCAGAGCGTTTATTCCAGCAGGTCCGATTGATTTTAAAATCTCCGCCGTGAGTTGATCAGGTCCCGGGGCCTTCTTGGTTTTGAGAGCCACCAGAGCAGCTATAACTTCAGATCGCAAAATTGGTGGTTCAGTGCGCAGGTGTTCCCAAGCGGCCCTGTTCTGCGTTGATACATTAGGGCTCCTATAAAGTTGCTCGCAGTATCTTCGCCAACGGCTGGTTATTGCGTCTAGATCTTGGAGTGGCGTACCGTCTTCATCTTCAATTAACCAAGTTTTAGCTTTGAATTGCTTAGACAGGAGCTTAACTTTCTTGAATAGATCAGCAGTCTGCAGCTTTAATGCATGACCTTCAATTTCCTGGCAAACACGCTCAATAAAGTTGTTTTTATCATGGCGACACTGCTGTTGGATAGCTCTAGACAACTCTGAGTATCTGTCACGCGCTTCTTGACCTACCAGACCGTTATTTTTCAACGCTTTTCTGTCTTCGACAATCTTCCAGGTATCAGTGGAAAGCCAGTTTTGTCGGATGGTAGGTGATGTACGATTAGCTGTGATCTTTTCAACCGTTTTCCAGATATGGCCCTTAAGACTATTCCATTGTTCATCGGTGTTACAGCTGGAAGGTATAGGTTCCAACGCTAAGGTATTATTTAGACCAACTTTAAATTCTTCTGCTTCCGCTGGGTTAAGGGTTTTCGGCCTCATTGGGTCTCTTTTCTTAAGCGATCTAAGACGTAGAGTAAAACCTGCTACTAGCAGGCTATGGTCGGAGCCGCAATCAGCGCCTGGGAACGTTCTTACGCTTGTGATAGATGACTTCCATCGGCTATTGATGATAACATAGTCGATTTGATTTCGATAACGATCACCTGGAGATGTCCAGGTGTATAGTCGTCTGGGATGTTGCTGGAAGCATGTGTTCATTATGCTCAATTTCCTGCTGATGCAGAACTCTAGCAGTTAAGATATTAAGAGGGACGAAGATGGTTAAAAGTAAGTGTTTTATAATTTCTTCAGATTTTATAGGGGTGTAAAGGACAGTCTGTCAATGCTGACAGGGTAAACGGAGACCAAGGAACTGAGCTATTTCTCCCAGAAATAAATGTCAGGAAATGACAAGAAATTCTACATCCCACACAAATTTACAATCAGCTGATTGTGTTTACTTCGGAAATCCAAAATACATTACCAATTTAAGACGTTCTCTGAGAGAAAAAATGCTTACTGAAAGTTTTTCATTTATACTTACGTGGTCTGAAGGCCTATACGGCTTGTTAGGGACGGTGTAACGTAAACTTTGCAGGCGTGCTCAGACCATGAAACTGAACAACTTTTACTATGGAGCCAATGGTGGGAAATGAAAAAAAATTACCGATCTCCCATACAAAGTCAGTCAGCTGATCGTGAATTTTGTATGGGAGGTAGGAAATATTTTTTCGTTTCCCACCATTGGTTCCATAGTAAAAGTCGTTCAGTTTGATGGTCTGATCATTAAGGTAACTTGCACAGAAATTACTTGATGTAATATTTAATTATTTTAAGTTATACCTATCTGCCCATATTTAAATTAATATCCGAAATTTCGGCCTAGTGAAGCAAAACATAACTTTCTTACCTTTACTGTGGCTTAGTGAACCAAGATTGCGTTTTCGCATGCGTCTCGACTGGTTCAATTAAAATAGTAATTAATTGCTGAGCTCAAAGCACTGACAGGTTCCTTTGCGAACATCATTCACTTTTATATTTATGCGAGTCCTGACAGGTAAGGCTTGTCGGGGCTTGTAATGCGGTTACTTCATCTTCATCGCTCTGAAGTTATCATCTTAAAAAATAAAGCCTTTTCACGTACCTATGCTACACGCTTTTGCGGTATTTGACAGCCAGCTATAAAATTATTGCCAGTGCTAGTTACCTTCTGCGTGCTGTTTCAATCAACCTCTTTCTTTAATAAAGCCGGAACGGAAAAATGTATGTATAAAAACAAAAATTAATGTATTTTTCCAGCATGTGTCATACATTTGAACCTTCCTTTTGAATTATTTGTTCAATCAAAATCAAATCAAAATCCGTTGCGTAACTTAGGAGGGGTTAGCAAATTCCACAAGAGACCGATAGAAAAACGCAAAAGACGCAGGAAAATGCAAACTACTTCATTATACTATGTATTAATGAATTTCTGCTATTTTCAGCATCCACAGAAATTATACACTAGAATTATCGTCGGTTTACTAAGTACCTACGTAGTATGAAGTAAAGTAAGAAGCTTCTAAAATGTTGAAAAGTGTGGAGATCATCTCCTTACTATCACATCGTTTTATCGCAGGAGATTGCTACACTTCGTCAGGTGGGGTGTAAATAGATAACATACTGGGGTTTTGAGACTTGCATTGCATATTCATTGACTAACTTGCGTTTTATGAAATATATTGGGTGTTAGAAGAAACGGTGTATCGAATACTTTGCAGGCATAATCTGTCATTGAAAACTTTTC